CTGCTATTCAGCTTGTTTTTGACTCTGTATTACACGAGAGGACGAAACATATAAAGATCGATGTTCACTTTCTTCGGGAGAAAGTCCGTTGTGGTATTGTCACTCCATTGTTTGTGGGGACCAGTGATTAGGTTGCGGATGTTTTCACCAAACCTATCACTCTATCCATTCTTTGGGACTCCGTTGTCAACCTTGACTTAGTTGATATTTTTACGCCTAACTTGAGGGGGAGTGTTGAAATATAGTCTAGTTTATTAGGGTTTCTTTTTCCTTTTTAACCCTTACTATGACTTTATATTTTGCTTAGAACACAAAGATGTTTAGGTCACTTTGTATTATTATTTGACTATATATACGGGACTCTACTCTTAGTTTGAGTAACCCTTTCACTCACATATATCTCTTGTATATCAAATTAACTTTGAATTAATATTTAATTTTATCAAATTAATATTTAAATTTATCATATTAAGACCAAATTTATTTAATTAATATTAAATTTTATCAAATAATATTTAAATTTTATATATGAAAGGTTATGTATAAAGAGTAGTCAGATAACATTGTGAAGGACAGATAATAGCAGAGAAGTTAGAAATAGATGAAACTTTAGCATTGACTTTATCGATTGTAATTTTATTATAGAAAAAATATTTTTAACTATAAAATAAATTTAAAACCCTGTAATTTATAACAAATAACAAAAAATATACTACAGGGGAACTTAGGTAATATAAGAAAATAAGAAATCAAAAAGTGTACCTCTTACCTAACAACTTATAAACAAATGGACTTAATGACTTAAAAAGTTTAACGGGTGTTTTGGATGAAAAAAATTTTAAAAAATTTGCATGAAAAAAATTAAAACTACCTACATGAAAGAAAAAAATTAAAAAAAAAACTGCATGAAAATTTTTTTTAAAATTGCATAAAAAAGTTAAAAATATCTGCATGAAAAAAAAATTAAAAAAACTGCATCAAAAATTTTTTAAAAATCTACATGAAAAACATTTACAAATCAGTAAGAAAAAAAATAAAATTTTTTTTTACCAACTTAAGTAGTGATCGATCACTGTGGAGAACAAGTTGAAGAATAATGGCTGGCTTCCGTTAGGAGTGTCAACGTGACGTGTCAGGCTAAACGGTTACGCGTCAAGTTAAACGAGTGACAGGTTAAAAACATGTAAAACCGTACACAACACGTTTAATAAATTGGTAAAAAATCTAAACACAAACGCAAACTGTTTAATAAACGGATAATACGACAACTCATTTAACCCATTTAATTTTATTAAAACTATCTTATTAAAATTTTAACCAGCAACAAAAAAACTATCCTATTAAAATTTTAAACTCCATTAATTAGTCACACCAATTGTACTCTCTTAATCAAAAAATTTTCAGTTGGTTGTCACTTGCAAAAGCAAATGAAAAGGTTTAATGACTAAATGAAGGAGTTACATCATTTTAAAGGCATGAGAGGTCTCCTTCATTTAAATTTGTCGATGTGGGATATAAGCTAAAAACTTTTACCGTGTGTTCAGTGTCTATAACCCACAAACTATCTATAAACCTACCCTAGGGCTTCGTATGTTCAGTGTCTCCTTCATTTCTCCACACAGACATCCACACAGAAGTGGGTCGCAATCAAAGACTTAATTCTATCCACTGTGCATCAACAACACACACGGATAACAATTCCACTGATCGACACCATCTTCTGTATGTGCTTTAATCGATTCTTCTGATGTGTGATCATCATCCTCGAAAGAATCATCAAGCACTCCAATCTGTGGAAAAAGGGGGGGGGGGTAAGTGAATAAAGGAGAGGGAAGAATCATCGATCATCTTCTGATGTGCAGTCTATAGTGATAAAAAATTTATTCCCACATCAAGCAATAGGGGTGCAAATGTGTCTGACGATAGGTCTCACCTGAATACGACCCATTTGTTAAATGTGTCTGACGGGTTAACCCGTTTATCACCCAAACCCGCTTAATTCGTGTCGATTCGTGTCGGTTAATCATGTCATGTCGGATTTTGACAAGCTTAGCTTCAGTCCCCTATATCTTCCTGCAACCCCAATCACTCTTCAAAGTGAATTTAAGTGATCTTCAAGTCGAACATAGGGAATCTCTGCATCAACTAGGAATCAATCTCAAGAACCCTAAAAGGGATCTCATCTTTGATAAGGATCATGTATGGGTAGTGGGAAAAGAGTTGAGACATTTTCGCATATTTACGTAAGGAATGGTAGTTTTGACATTTTCAAAAAATTTATAGTCAAAACCGTTATTTTTTGTACCGACAAAATTAAAAATTACCGTTAAAGGGTGTCTTTGATTTGAAAGTATAAACCAAAGGGGAGTGCAGTGAAGTTTCAGAATCGGGACGGGGATGTCATTGAATTTAGACCTAATTAAAAGGGGTGTGAATGAAATTTTTCCTTAAAATTTTTATCTTCTATTTGTAGTTTGGATAGTTTAGAATGTAATGCCATTTCTGCTTGTAGTGGATTTAATTCCACTTAACCCATTCTCTCTTGTTATCAATAAATGTTCCCAATTCCTTCTGGGGGGAAGCAATTCTTACAGATGTTCATTTGATTAATTGTAATCTCATTCTTCTCAACTCTGTCATCTCTCCATTCAAAAAATTGTATGATAAATCTCCTAATTACGTCTCCTTACATATGTTTGGTTGTACTTGTTTTGTTTTACTTCTTAGTATCTTTGTACTAAACTCTCTGCTCGTTCAACTTTATGGTGAGGGTTAGAAAGGATATCATTTCTATGATCCTATTACACACAAACTCTATAGCTCTTGCCATGCTGTCTTTATGAAACACATTCCTTTTTTTTCTATTTCATCTAGATCTTCTTCTTTTGCATAAATCATAACTTATATATATTGATCCATTTCCGGCCGAGGTTCCTCATGATACATACGTTGGTGATATGACTGTGTTTGATCTACCTTCCTCCTTTTCTCCCACTAATTTGTTTGGTTCAAGTCCTATTGTGCACACTTATTTTCGCAAGACACATGTTGTTTCTTCTACAATGCCTCCGCCTTCCTTTCCTGCCACTCAATCAAGTTACTATATCGTGGATCATGTTACTCGCTATCCTTAGTACTCTCGGATATGTTCAGATAGGTTTGGTTTCTCTAACTCTTGTTATTCTTCTGACTTTTGTTCCTTCGTAACCTCTATTCACTCTATCTGAATCCACCTCCTATAAGGAAGCTATTCTTGATCCTCTTTGCCAACAGACTATTGCTAAGGAGCTTTCTACCTTACATAAGACTCAAGCTTGGGAGTTAGTGTCTTTACCCCCGGTAAATGCACCATTGATTACAAATGGGTTTATAAAATTAAAACCCACTCAGATGGTTCCGTGAGAAGGTACAAGGTTCGGTAAGTGGCAAAGGAATTTACTCAAAAGTATGGCTTGGACTATAATGAGACATTTGCTCCTATTGCAAAAATGACCACTGTTCGTACCATGATTGCAGTCGGAGTTATTCGTCAATGGATATTGTCTCGAATAGATGTTAAAAATGTGAAGAATCATAGAGATTTGTCTGAAGAAGTTTTTATAACTTCCTAGATTGTCTCAAAGTCCCGAACTCGTATGCAAACTTCGCAAAGCTTTATATGGCCTTAAACATGTACCACCAGCATGGTTTGCTAAATTTTCTTCGAACATATATGACTTGGTTTTCGAGCCAGTGATCATGATTCTGCCCTCTTTCTACAATCTACTTTCCCAAGTTCAATTGTTCTCTTACTTTATGTTGATATGATATTTACAGGTGATGATAGTGCTAGTATACTGTTGTTGAAAAACTAGTTGTATGATCATTTTGAGATGAAAGATTTAGGTCAACTTTGGCATTTCTTGGGGATTGAGGTTGCTTCCTCTCCTAAAAGTTATCTTCACTCCCAATCTAAATATGCATCAGATGTATTCAGCAAGCCAATTCAGCGAGCCCACTTGTCAGGCAATCGGACAGTTGAGACCCATTTGAAACTCAATGTTTGTTATTCTTCCTCTGATGGCACTGTCTAGTCAAATCCTACACTCTACCGTACTATTGTTGGCAGTCTAGTATATATTCCAGTTACTCATCCAGATATATGATATGAAGTTCATGTCATTAGTCAATTTGTTGTTTCTCCTACTACTATTCATTGGGCTGCTATCCTTCGCATTTTGCGGTATCTTCAGGGCACTATGCACCAAAGTTTATTATTTTTTGTCCTCCTCATCTATGAAACTTAAGGCTTATTCAGATGCTGATTGGAATGGTGACTCAACAGATCGTAAGTCCACCACGAGTTTCTGTCTCTTCCTTGAAGATTCTCTTATTTCTTGAAAAAGTAAGAAATAAATTGTTGGTGCTCATTCTTCTACTGAAGCTAAGTATTGTGTTACGACCTTTACTATAGCTAAGATAGTCTGGTTACGTTAGCTGCTTGTTAATCTTGGCATCTCCGTATCTACTCGTACACTTATGTATCATGACAACACCACCGCTATTCAAATTGTTTACAACTCAGTGTTTCATGAGCGCACGAAGAATATTAAGATTGATTGTCACTTTGTGTGCCATTATCTTTAACTAGGCACTATCTCTCTCCCCATTCTTCCTTCTATATGCAGTTGGCAGATTTCTTAATAAAATTTCTCACAATCATGCACTTTCGTTTTTCTACTTGGCAAACTCTTAATGTTCTCTGCCACCACATCATGAGTTTGAGGAGGGATGTTAGAGTATATTTAGTTATTTTAGTATTAGGGGTAGTTTAGTCACTTAATTTGTTTTGTATTGCCCTAATATATAAGCTCTCTATTGTGTATTCCATTAGGTAGGCTATAACAATGTCAATTATTCAATAAGATATTTCTATCCTCTCGTCTCTTTTCTTTTTTGATCAAAGTTATCATCAATTAGGACCATCAATTGTGAACAGTGAGAATAAAGCAAAAGTCAACTTACTTCTTTATTTTATCTTTCAAAGACCCGACCTTCTCCATTGGTGTCCTGAAGTCAATGGAAAACTCCAAGGAATCACCCATATCTGGGCTTCGGTAGAAGTTGCTGATGGGCTTCGTAGCCAATACTGAATTTGGATAGTATATCTTCTCATTATCATATCGCAAGAATACTGTTGTCAGTATGTTCATCTCTTCAACTATCATCTGTCAAATAATATATCAAACAGAGTTAATAAAGTGAACTTGATAAAATCAAATGAATGCAACTTGAGAAAGTTACCTGAACACCATCGACAACACAACGATCACCAACATCAAATGGATGCATCACAAATACAAATATGATAGCTTCAAATACAATCTTGCAAGTATTACCAAACATAAACGCTGCCACAACAAGCTGTGATGAGAGAAAGACAAGTACTTTGGTTGTTGCAATCTCCATCAAAAGAAGCCACACTATAATGATAATTACAATCAGGATTCCTGTGACAAGCTTGTTCAATTGCTTTACAGCTGTTTTGGTATCATTTAAAGCATGTGACAAGGCTTTGCGACTATTGTAAACCTTCACCTGTGCAGATAACATGCATATGAATGTAAAGAAATGAGCTTTCCAAACCAGTCATGTTTTGTTTTATTTTAAATGCAGCAACCATATTGCACCTAGTCAAAGAAAAAAATGTAGTGGGATCTTTTAAATGAGCTGTCTATTCATGAGATTTTCTACTGTTTTCTACGACCAAACCCATAATGAACTACACCAATCTTAGTCAAATTACTCTAGCAAATTGATTGACATTGATATAAAAACTATCATCTTCTTATTATGCAGCTCGTAGACTATATATGCACCAGACACTTTGGAGTCTCTTCTCCTTTGCTGCAGAAAGCCATTGAAACAGAGAAGTAAAATAGAAACAATGAGACCAAACCAATTATCGGTGTTTGTGTGTGTGGACCACAAATCCGTTTGAGCAAAGAGCAGATAGATACAAGTGCAATTAAAAGAGGGATTAGATACCTAGCTACTCTTATACAACAGGGGGAAAAACAAAAAAGGAGTCTTACCACCCAATCTGTTAAAGCTTTCCTGTCAATCCTTCCGGTCTCAGCCACATCAATCATTGGGAACACAAGATCCACCTCTTCCTTGATCATGAATCTCCTTAAGTCCATCTCATCAATGTACCTACACATAAACTAGAATTTAGATGGAGTGCTTCTTTTGATGGAAGAGGGTATAAGACAAGCACTAAGAAATAAAATAGATTTTCTCACTTGCTAAAGGGCTGCGCAACATTCCTGAAAATGTGATAGGCAGCAGCAATGGCCTCCTCCTCGTTGGTAATCTCCTTGTCTGTCTGTTCCCCTCCTCCATCATAATCACTTTCATCGAGAGTACTTGAGATAGTAGAAAGCCCTGAATTAGATATCACATCAACTAACACCTTCATGGTCCATGCAGAAACCTTTTCTTGCTTCATTTTATGAAGCTTGTTTACATCGATGACCTCTTTCTCTTTCTTTTCCTTTCCCTTCTTCATTCTCCTAAAACTCAATTGACTAATAGCACTGTTTGTTCTGCCCAATATCGCAGCTGACTCCATTACCGGAGGCCCTGATAGAGTCTGTAGTATATACTGATGGAAGATTGATTCTTGAATCCTATCAAAGAACGTATTTACATGGAAAGATGATGCCAAAATCTTTAGCAGCAAGGTCTTTAGAAGCCACAAGATTGCACCAATGAGGAAAGTTACGATAGTCCAAGTAATGTAATCCAGAATTCGAGTAGCAGTATGTGACCGCTTAACTCCTTCTTGAAACAATAAAACCCAAGTCACAAGAACCACAATCAACCAAATACAGACCTGAACACTCTTCTTCAATCCATGAACAAAATAGAGCACCTTCTTTCTAAACAAAAAGTTTAGCTCAATCAAGAAAACAAGAAGACGAATCAACCACTTGGTGACCAACATCCCACTGAACGTTACCATTACAAGCACAATGCCTTTCCAAATAGCCAAACCCCAGATCATCTTTTTTTTCAACTCATGAACAGTCAAGCTAGCTATTAAACACCCCAAAATGCAAAGAAACACAACCCATTCAATCAAAACCTTAATTTTAACTCTCTTATACTTCAATTTATTCCTTATGCTCACTTTCTTATATATCGCCTCATCCTCATCCTCTCCTCCCAGACCATCGGGAGACGCCATTAATGGTGTCTTGGGAGTAATTGACACCATTCTAATAGTCTCCTTTAGTGTAGTATTGGTATTAGAAACCAGTTTACTATCGGGCGAAGCTTGATTAGACATTACAATTTGCTCTACTTGTTCTTCAAACATATTAGAATCAATATGCACAGACTGTTCCCCAAATCTTGACTTGGGTTTGGAATATATAGATCTTGCCAGCGATTTTCTCCGAGTCAGGGTTTCAATGGTGGGGATTTTTGGAGGTTTATTGGGGCTGGGACAGAACCGTGAAATCTCAGGTGAAGGACATCTCATTGGCACAGACTTTGGAATTGGAACACCCGAATGCAAATCGGTCGATACCCTTTGAGGTGAATCGGCACTTCCTTTAGACCTTTGATCTTTTGAAGCATCTGGGTATGAATTCTTTGCATCTTTTTCTTCGCCAGAAACGTTTAGAACCACTGCACTTGTTCTCGTGTTCTCTGTCAAGCTTATTTCGCCACTTTTTGAAGCTTTACCATTCGCATCCATTGGTTTAAAATCCTTGCAAAACAAACACCAAAACAACAAACAACTCTGTCTTTCATTTGTTTACTCATTCATCATGTATGCAAAGTAAGCTAAGTAAAGGATGAACATTTGCTTTTCAGATTTTCTTGGAAAGTGACTTTCTCCTAACATGGAGGTCAGTGATATATTCACTGCCAAAAGCTAATGGATTTGAACCAAAGCTGCATGTCATTGCACCTCTTAGCAATAGGTTACTAATATATTTTGGTTGAACACTTTTCACATCCTCCCCCCACCCGACCACAACCACACACACAAAACCCGCACACGCATTGTGAGTTTTTCCAGATCAAACAATTGCTTTAGCTAAGAATGACTTCCCTGGGTTTTAGTAGTTAATGGCAATTAGTTTTGGCGCCAAAAAAGAAGAGTAAAGTGACCTACCATGAAAACAATGAAAATGCTCTGATTTCTAACCGGAAAATGAATCGCCGGAAGTTGAAAAACTGAGAAATGTGAAGGGCCTAGAAGGAAAGATAGCGATTGATTTCTGATGCAACGATTGGTATCAAGTGATATGAATGTAATCGATTCGAAGAGGCTAAAAATTGTTTTAGAAAAACTCACGAGAATTTCAGAAGATTAAAGACAACAGAAGATCTTTAGTACAAGTTTGGGAACAATGGAAGCATGGAGTACAGAGTATGAGATTCAAATCAGAGAGGAAAAGAGAAAGGGGTTCACGTTTTGAGGAGCAGCTGAAGAGTTGGATGTTTGAATGACGTACCAAGTGATACTGTATTTTCGTGTTTCTGCATTTTTTTTTTTTTTGAAAAACTCTGATGATCCTGAAAAGGACGAGAGGTAACCCCCAAGTAGGGTGGTCCCACCCATTAAATCACATTTTATACTTTATTTACTTTTTTTTATTTTAAATTATTAAGGTCATCTTCGTCCTTTATTTAAATCATTACTAAAATTTATATTTTAATAAAAACAAATTAAAATCAAATTCTAGTCTTTGACCCAAATCTATATTAAATAAAAAAAGACTCAATTTTTTATTCCAACCAAGATAGACTTAAATTTTCAATAGTCAAATTTCACTCTTTTAAAAGAGTCAATAATCATATTTCACCTTCTTTTAAATTTGAAATTACCTTACTTTAAATTTGAATTTATTATTCTTTAAATTTGAGTTTGTTCATTGAAATATCTTGTACCAAATCAAACTTCTTACTCATTTTTTAACTCAAATTTGAGTTTGATTTTGAGTCAATATTAGAGATACTCTAAGTTCACTCCATCTATACTTACTCCATTAGTTATTAAACTCACATCATTTATATTCACTAATTAAAAATTAAATTCATTCAATTATGTTTCCATCTACTGTATAGGCAAGGATCAAATTTTATTTTAGTGTATTAATTCGGTATAAAAATAGCTCATAAGTGGAATAAAAATTAATAATTATTTTTAAAATATTATTCGAAGTATACCAAAATATCTTAAAATATTTCAAACACATTGGTAAAAAAATATCAAAATATTTCAAAACACCTCAAAAATAATATAAATCACCTCAAAAGATTGAAATTTTGCTTTAATTATTATTTTTGTTTCGATTTTTTAACATATAATTAATAATTTAATGGAATGAGTATAAATGGGTTAAACTTAGTAATTTGAAGTACGAGAATTAAACGGATGGAAAAAGAGATTTAAGGGGTGAAAATAGCCCCACCCTATTAAGTAAGAATAATATTATTAAGATTTAAAAAATTAATTTAATGATGTGGCAGTGATGTGATCCACTAATATTATTATTGTGATAATTCTTAGATTTTTTTATTAGAATGTTATCACTTGACATTTCATTATATCAGTAAATTAAGTCAAATTTTTAATTCTCAATAATATTACTCCCAAAATATTAATCGAAGTTGTGAGGGAAATTAATTTTGCAGAATCTTATAAATTTTATTTGTCCATGGATAATACTATTGTCACGCATTGAAACTCTACTCCCACTCCTCCTCCCCTTCCTCCAACGCTTATCCTCATCCTATTTTAATATTATAAGAAATTAATTTACTAATATAATTAATTTATAATTAAAATTTTTAAAAATAAAGTAGTCTTGATCTGCTTTCCAGAGCTTGGTTTCTTCTGTTGCAAACTCTGAAATCAAATTTGTTATCATTTGCCCCTTAATTAAGGTCTACAATACATACTGAATATCAAACTCAGTAGCTCAATGGACCACTTTGTTAGTCGTCTTGAAACTTCTAGTTTCTGAAGAATTTGTCGTAGGGGGATGTCAGTAACGAACACATTGATATATGCTTTAAAATAGGGCCTCAACTTTCTTGAAGCTATAACAAGTGTTAAAGCCACCTTCTCCATGGTAGGATACCTAGCTTCTGTCCCCCTTAGCGTTCGGCTTATATAATAAACTGGGCGTTGGATATTTTCTCTTTGGCTGACCAAGATTGCATTAGTAGTTTCTTGTGATACAATAAGGTACTAGTACATCTTGTTGGCCCAAATGCAAACTAAGAGGGGATAAATTAGGTGGTGTGAGTTAATGACTAATTTTAGTTTTCTTTAATTCATACTAAAATGCAATTTGAACAATAGTATGAAAGAAAGATAATGCATATGATAGACAATGTAATATGAATAATGTAGTATGATAAATAATTATTGGATAAAAAATGTTACGTATATGATAAGTAGTGTAATGTGAACAATGCAAAAAGGTAATGAACAAGAAGAACAAATAAGATTTATAAAGGTTTGGCCCAAACAACGATGGCCTACGTCATCTCTTCCTCTCCTTCTCGGAGCTTCACTTTCACTATCTCAATCTTTTTCAGTGAGTGAAGATCAAACCTCTTACAAGCTTTGTCTTCTTTGGTAGGTAAAGACACACCTATACAATGTCAAACTCAAATTATACAAATTGAAGCTCACTCAATATAATAATATTCTCCTATATTTATGATGAGTGCGGAATATTGCATATTATGCACTTCATTGTATCCAATTTGACTTGTTTTGTAGTGTATTTTTGGGAAAATGGATTCAAATTTATAATTAATGGAGACTTGTTTGATTGTAGGTGATAGGTTGCAAAGAGCATGCATAAAGCACCCCATGTAAAACCCAAGTAAATTTGAACTTTTATAAAAAGGGGTAAAATAGTAATTTGTCACTACGGTACAAGTTGCAAACTTGAATTTTCTAGAGCTCATATGACGAAACGGACCTTACCATTAGATTCTTCTCGCGAAATCTAGCTACCCCATCAGTTTTTATCGAATTCTGAGATAGTTAAAATTTTTGTGTTTTATGAGACGGTCGGGTCTCAGGCGACCCAAAAATGAAATTTTAAATAAAATTTTAAAAGTTAAAAAATAATTTAAATCAAGTTGAAATAAAAATATTTTGAACTTGAACCGAAACGAAATTTAATCATTTTGGGGCAAAAACGGACCCAAGAATAGGAGGACATGTGGCGCGTTTGTGGATCAAGCAATTAGGGGGTATAAAAAGGGGGAGAAAATCAGATTTTTCCCCATTTCTTTCTGTTGGTTCAACATTGGAGAGGAAGAGAGGAAAAAAGAGAGAAACCCAACGTTCTCTCTATGATCTACAGCCCTACGGTACTCAAATCAACATGAGCCAAGAACAAAAATCGACCTCCTTGTCGTGGGCTATGCGACCATACCAAAAAGGAGGGTTTTGACCAAAGTCCAAGAAATGAGATTTGGAAAAAGTGAAGATTCTAGCTTGAATCGGGTTCTTGAGGGTTCTACAACTCGTTTTACGCTTCAAGAGGTGAGATTTTCATCCTAACTAAGTTTATTTTCAACCTAGAAATGTGATATAGAATGGGTAGGTTGTTAAACATCTTTAGCACTTGCCTATTGTTGAGAATTTGATGAGTTGGGTATCTAAAATGGGTAGAATAAATTTTATCTTAAATTGGGTATGTAGAAATTACCTATTGTGATTCTTAAACTATGTGATGAAATATGGGTATGTATGTGATTACATGATTGGGTGCCTTGAAGGTATTTGATTAAATGCAAAAGTGAAATTAAGTATGTTTACATAGATAATGTGATTCTTAGAAAAATGATATTATGTGGGCATGTAATGTGTTTGTATTGTGTCTTGTGAATTAAGTATGTTATTAGCATTGACTATGTGCTAATATACTTGAGATTTGTTATTGGATATAATGTTAATATATGTTTTATGATATGTTAGCATTATGATGAATTGTGGACATTGTATGCTTTTGATATAATTGGCAATAGAATGGTGAAATTTGCTCATTTGACATTCATTGCATATTAGGCATGATGTTGGCGTCACATTCATGGGCATTGGCATGAGTATGGGCGTGTGTACACATGGTTCGATCAACACACCATACTTGGTGGGTGATGAGTGGGCTTGAGAAAAGTTGGAACGATGTTCTAACTGAGTTGCATGGTTGCATGAAAATTTTGTGTCAGATACAGCAAACAGGGCTAGATTTTGTATCGGGTGCAAGACCCGACTACCTGGTTCATACACTCCCCTGAGGTGAAATAGTTATTCGATGTGTAACATCCAACAATGATTTGATTTTATAAACACATGACTTTTATTTTAAAATGATCATTGGATGTATTTTATCAATGGCAGATTTACACACATTGGCATTGCATTGTGTTGAATAAGCCGGAGAGGGTTTAGGTTGAAGTGCATGAGTGAGTCTCATCTCATTTTATGGCATGACATGGGATCCTTATCATTGAATACATATTCTTGATTGGAATGTTTTGAATGGTTGATTGTTGTATGTGAACATTTCATATGCATCTAGATTGGAAAGTAGCATCTTTAGGAGATACCCTATTGAGTGTGGCTCGCTCTTTATGCGACAACATTTCAAGTGTGGGATACAAGCCAGTGGATGGCTCTCATTCGGGCTCTTAAGGAGGAGGAAAAGCCAAGATATG